AATTTCACCCAAAAATTGCATTTAAAAAACAAAAAAAGAGAAATGTACAGATATTTCACTTCCATCTATCCACACATACATTCCGGGATGGCAGTCAGAAGTGACATTTAAGTGCAAGACATAAGCAAGGCTTTCTATACTCCACTACAGCATTGAACAAAAGCAACCAGCAGCACTAGCCCTTTTGAGCAGTGAGTTGCAACAGCAGCAAATGAAGAAGCTGTGAGGGAGGTGCCTGGCTATTGAAGAACAGAATAAGAGGAGGTTAAAGGAGCGTAATTCCTGCCTACGGCCATACCACCCTGAACACGCCCGATCTCGGAAGCTAAGCAGGTTCGGGCCTGGTTAGTACTTGGATGGGAGCAGGGCCGCCATCAGGGGGTGACAACCATGACGGTTGTCACGGGCCCGGCGGTCCTGGGGGGCCCGGGCTGCACAGGTAATCCTCTGCATGCCCGGGCCCCCAGCCCTTCAATCTGCATCTATATAGAGAGAGAGTACCGCTATGTATATATGCCTCTGCGGGCCCAGGATATACTTACCTTCCCCTCCAGCACTCTCGCGAGCCACAGCAGTAAAGCGTTGCCGCGGGTTGTCATGACAACGCTCCGCGGCACGCAATGCATGCTGGGCTCGCGTCCTGGCTGCAGGAGGGAGTCTGCTGGGCTCCTCCTTGCTGGCCCAACACGCAGAGCCACCGGACCACCAGGGAATCCATTGTCCCCCCTCCCTGACTACAGGTAAGAGGCAGGGAGGGGGGAATACATCTTTTTTTTTTTTTAAATTACAAACAATTCTACATAAAAAAAAAACCAAAATGCCTCCCAGCAGCATTTGTCACACATCCACCACACACATACATCAAACAGACAAACTGCATCCACTACACAACCATACACATCATCCACTACACAATCATACACATCATCCACTACACAACCACACACATTATCCACTACACAACCATACACATCATCCACTACACAACCATACACATCATCCACTACACAACCACACACATCATCCACTACACAACCATACACATCATCCACTACACAACCACACACATTATCCACTACACAACCATACACATCATCCACTACACAACCACACAAATAATCCACTACACAACCATACACATCATCCACTACACAACCACACACATTATCCACTACACAACCACACACATCATCCACTACACAACCACACACATCATCCACTACACAACCATACACATCATCCACTACACAACCACACACATCATCCACTACACAACCATACACATCATCCACTACACAACCATACACATCATCCACTTCACAACCACACAAATAATCCACTACACAACCATACACATCACCCACTACACAACCATACACATCATCCACTACACAACCATACACATCATCCACTACACAACCATACACATCATCCACTACACAACCATACACATCATCCTCTACACAACCACACACATCATCCACTACACAACCACACACATCATCCTCTACACAACCATACACATCATCCACTACACAACCACAAACATCATCCACTACACAACCATACACATCATCCACTACACAACCACACACATCATCCACTACACAACCATACACATCATCCTCTACATGACCATACACATCATCCACTACATGACCATACACATCATCCACTACACAACCACACACATCATCCACCACATAAACACACCATAAACCAGATAAACACATAAACTGCATCCACTACACAACCACACACATCATCCACTGCACAACCATACACATCATCCACTACACAACTCCGCCGCACATCATCCACTTTCACAACCACACACACATTTATCCACTACACAACCACACACATTATCCACTACACAACCACACACATCATCCACTACACAACCACACACATTATCCACTACACAACCACACACATCATCCACTACACAACCATACACATCATCCACTACACAACCACACACATTATCCACTACACAACCATACACATCATCCACTACACAACCATACACATAATCCACTACACAACCACACACATCATCCACTACACGACCATACACATCATCCACACCATAAACCAGATAAACACATAAACTGCATCCACTACACACACAGCATCCACTACAAACACACACTCTGCATTCACTATACACACACTACATACACTACACATACACTCTGCAGTCACTATATACACACTACTTCCACTACACAAACACACACACTGCATTTACTATACACACACACTACATCCACTACACAAACACACACTCTGCATTAACTATACACACACACACTACATCCACTACACAAACACACAATCTGCATTCACTATTCACATACTACATCCAGTACAAAAACACACACTCTGCATTAACTATACACACACACACTACACCCACTACACAAACACACACACTGCATTCACTATACACAAAATACATCCACTATACACACACACTCTGTCCACTACACAAAGTGGGGGCATGTCATGTGGGCAAGCTTGGGGCAGGTCATGTGGATTGACTTGGGGGGTGGCCCCGGGGGGCCCAGATGGTGGGCTGTGTCAGGGGCCCCAAAATTTCTGGTGGCAGCCCTGTGTATAGGTATCTTTGTGTAGTGCCCAGCTCTGTGTATTATATCCCTATAATATTATATATTTTGTCTCAGCTCTGTTTGTGGTAATATCTCTGTATTGTACTCACATATTTTATATTTATGTTGTGTCCAGCATGTTTTATTGTACAAGCTTCTCTTTATTATGCCCAGCTCTCTGTATTGTATGGGTATCTCTGTACTGTATAAGGAGGATTAAAATTCTGGGGGAGTAGTCTGGCACCCCACCATCTTAAAACATCACCAGCTGCCACTGGTACTGTGAGAGATATAACAACATAAAGTACATTATTTTGTGACAGTGCTATCTTAAACTCTGAAGTTGTTATGGCGCCAGGAGGCTCTTACCATAAAGGGTTAAACCCTTCTTGAACGATTTACTCTGAAAGTGTGAACCCAGCGATGCATACGGCTTCTGAATCTCAGATTCAGGAAACGTGGAGCGCCGCCAGGCAGGGGCACTACTCAGTGTCTCAGGGGGGTCGGCTGACGGTCTCAGCCAATCAGTGACTCACAATTCATTAAACCGGCTTGAAAAGAAACGTACCTAAGAGTGTATGCGGGGTCCTCTTGGCACCACAACAACTTAATTTAGTATTATGACCGGAATGTCCCTTTAATGAACAATATTTGGCGTTAATTTTACAGCACATTGAAGAGTTATTGCTGTAGATGTAGGGCTTTCATGCAGTGGGGGCAGGCTTAAAAGAACACTTCTGACACTAAAACAACTTTATCAAAATTAAGTTGTTATGGTGCCAGGAGATCCCCAGACACACTCTCGAATGGTTTAACCCCAAAGTTGCCAATTAGTGGCGCTACTGCCCTGGCGACACTCCGCGCTTCCAGAAACTAGGGGGACATGAGATCGGCCCTGAAGGCATCTTTGGCATCTCTTGTTCAAGAACAGTTTAATCCATTGAGGTAAGAGTATGCTCAGGGGCCTCCTGACACCATAACAACTTTTAGATTAAGTTATTATTGTGCATAAAGGTGCCTAAACTGTCCCTTTAATGCTCGAAGTTTGGAATTAATGCTGTCAATGCAGGTATAATACAGCATATGTGCAGTTTATAAATATTGGTTTATATAATATTTAAATTAAATCTAGGTCTTCTATAATGTATTTTACTACAGTAACAGAGCATACATGTCTCAAACTTCCTGACATTGATTGACTCCAGCCACAATGTGACTGCCATCAGTCATTCTGTCTCTCTCCTATTAGAAATATGATGGGTGAATGGCTGGGTAGAAAGAGATGTTGTGTCTCACTCTCCTCAGCACATTACATTGAAAATTACTTGTGGAACTGATGAGAGTCCATCCATCTCTGCGACTAGAAAAGAGGCAATTCACAACATCATGTCATTTTATGAATTATCGGCAGTGGTGGCTGGTGAAATACAAAGGTGATGAGGTGCGGCCCCCCTTGACTTTACCCACTTAATCTTAAATGATGCATGCCCTGGTCAAAACCAGCAGCATCTCCAGTCATCAATAAAGGGATGAATGGAAACTGTAGATATAATGATATATTAATGTCTGACTAATTAGGATAGATGTTTCCACATGCTATAAATCAGCGGTAGGCAACCTTTGGCACTCCAGATGTTGTGGACTACATCTCCACTGATGCTTTGCCAGCATTATGGCTGTAAGAGCATTATGGGAGATGTAGTCCACAACATCTGGAGTGCTGAAGGTTACCTACCCTTGCTATTGATCAAGAGTGGCCCAAAGATAGATTTCCAGCAAGAACTACAATCTGACGGAATTAGCACTAAGAACTCTAGTGAGCCTGAAGCATAGATACACCTCACACACATAGGATATTCACTCTCGGGGGTTTGTCTTTGAGTCTCCATGGGGTAGTAAAGCCTGCTGATCTATTTATCCCTCCTCTGGAACAGTTTTTGTTTGACTCTAATGGCTATTTCCCACCGGGTCATACTCGATGTCTGCCTTAAACGCGTACAGTATGACTTACGGGTTGTTATGACAACACTAAGAGTGATGAGTGTTCCAGCTAAGATAGTAAGGTAGTAAGAGCACCACCAGACACTATGTAAGCCACTGGAACCTTATGGAGACACAATACACAGGAAACTCTATAATGGAACAACTGCTACATAGAACATTAAGGAGGAGAGAACATGTATTATTTTACAGGTGGATACCTTGTGGATACTATACCTACACAGATAAGGTTACACAATCACATGCAAAGGAAGAGCTTACAGATTGAAATCTTTTTTCATGCAGTCTTCAGAGTATTTAATAATTTACAGGTTCAGTGATTTGCTTCCTGAAATCTGCCCTAAAAAAAGCTTGTAATCATTTTCGTGTGTATGAAGATACTAGGCTGTCTTCCATCCTCCCACGCTTCAGAGAATCATGTGCTGAATTGTTAAAGGCTCCTTCATAAGTAACATAATCATGAAGTAAGGGGGCAGATTCTAGTTTCTAGGCAGCTATTTGCCCTTTTCATCCTGATAAACTATGCTCTCGATGCCCTGGGAGCTTTCTATGTCTTTCCAGTTATAATGCTGCCCTTGCTAACTAGATGTTACCCAAATTGGACCTTTTCTCTAAGTCAATTCTCTTTATAACTTGGCTAGTTTGGCCTTAAAAGGACACTATAGTCACCTAAAGAACTACAGCTTAATCATTATTATTATTATTGGTATTTATATAGCACCATCTTATTCTGCAGCGCTTTACAATAAGAGGGGAATTTACCAAATGAGACAATAACAAAATTTAACAGGAA